TCTCTCTCTCTCTCTCTCTCTGTGTGTGTGTGCGTGTGTGTGTGTCTGTGTCTGTGCATGCAGGAGAAATGGAGGAAAGAGAAGGGGGAATCACTCAGCCTGAAGTACATTGGTGAGTTTTCCATTTGAAAATCTTCCTCCTCCGCCGAAAACATCATACACTCCTGATCATGAAGACATGTATTAAAAAAAAAAAAAAAAAAAAAAAAAAAGAGACGTTATTGAAAGAAAAGAAAAGAAAAAAAATCACACAGATGGAGCATCATAATGTGAGCGCGCAGTAGGGTTTTGTTTGTCCCAGTTTCGATGATCATGATGAGGATTCCAATACCAAGTCCAATGACGAGGATGATGATGGCGAATTTCGAAAGCGAATATCTAATTATTTTTTTACATTTTTTACATTTTCAATTATTTTTTTATATGTTTTTTTTTTTTTTTTAATGTTGTTCCCAACTTCCCATCATAATAATTGTGCTTATCCCGATGCGAGAATGCATTTGGATCTCCAGATACCCAGGTGCCTGATTTGTGCCAAGACGTGTTTCTTGTCGATGTGCATTCTGATGGGCTCATTTGTGCAAATCAAGTCTACTACTAGAATTTAGAACTGAAGCACTGGGCCAAATGGGTAATTAATAATTTAATAGTAATTACTAATTTCACAATTATTACTGATTATTGCAGTGAAGGCACTATATACAGTGAATAGTGATTACTAATTACCTAGGCTACCAGAGTGGCGGGGGGTCACTTGCCCGGCCGGGCGTCATTGCTACCGTCAACTTGAATTACGCAATGCTCGAGCAGGTGAGTGGTTTAATCCTCCATCCCACATCTCTGCCTGCATTGTGCACGAACCTGGCCATAATATTGATGTCACTGACCGCTGGGAGCTGTGGGACAACGGCACCATGGTCCATGCCATGATTGATGTCACTGATTTCTTACAAAATGATGTTGTTTTCTTGCCACAACAAACCGTCCGCAATCTCTTTTATGTTGAAGATCATTCCTCTGGGCCCATCCTGCAGCAAGACAATGTACCACACTCTGCAACCTTCGCCTTTGCACAGCCGCAAACACTGTTACACTCAGCTGTAGCCGCCATCGTCTCTGTCACAGTCACTACAATGACATGGTTTCTGCATCCATGTGTGCAGAGGACTGCCCCACCGTTCCTGACTGCAGGCACCCTCCGCATCCGGACACTATATGTCCATTTTGTGGCCATGGGCGCTATACTGAATGCATGCTCTTTTGTGGTGACCGTTCTTTTTTCGTTTTGGCCTGCGCCATTTGTCGGGGGTGTATGATGGGCATGCTCAATGCCACCCGTCGTGGCAATTGTTGCACTGAGAGTGCTCAGCTAGGTCTTCCATGTGTTCATCCACAGCATCCTTACAATGTATGTCCTCTCTGTCGTCAAGGACAGACTCATTCTTGCGCCTTTTCTTATCCTCTTTTGCCTCCATCTTCACTCCACACTTCATACTTTCCCTTCCTTTCCCTTTATCGTTCTTTGTTTGTCTGCTCTCCATCTCTCCTCCCTGTGTTTATCCCCTCCCCCTTCACTCTGCCTCTTTCTTACAGCGTACAAGTGGGCTGTTATGGCACACGGGGATGGGGGCAGCTCGCGCTCAACTTCATCAACGTGGCGAGCCTTGTACGTGAGAGGCACGGTGAAAGAGGAGTCAAAAGAAGAATGAGAAAAATGAATGGTTTCACTGTGCCCTTCATGTTTGTCTTGTTTTTTTTTTTTTTTTTAATTTTTGCCGTTTGTTTCGCAAATTGTGCTTTTTAGTTCGTAGTTATGTGATAATATAATAATATATATATATATATATAATTTATATATTATTTTATATTTATTTATTTATATTTATTTTTAATTTTAAAATTCGTAAATAATTTCGATGTGACCCTGAGGCAAAAGTTGTTCAGTTTTTTTTTCTTCATAACATAGTTTTTTTTTTTCGGATTTTTTGGAGTTGTTTTCTTTTTTTTTTTTGCTGGGACCTTGTCTGGTCGTTGCACGGGCTGGCCACCCGGGACCAGGGCGGCCCGGCTGGTAGCCTAGCTAATTACTCGTTAATATTTATTAATTTAATTCAATTGGTAAATGATACTAAAATCAATAACACTAATTAAGTACTGGTTATTAATTAAAATTTAAAACCATCTCCTTTTTTCCTGTAATCCCATACTCATTACTAATTAGTAATTAAATCATTTCCTTTTTTTTTCCTGCTGTCCTAACTAATGAAGTTGCACCAATCACAATTGTGGTCTCCTCCCCCCCCCCCCCCCCCCCCCCCCCACCTTGCCCCCCC